TCATCAAAATCCAATGAGTGGTTCTTCAGATACCAGTGGAACAGTCTTGGAACAGCTAAAAATCAGCTAATTATCATGCAAATTAGGTAATTAATATTCATAGATTTTTACCAAAACCTAATCAACTCTGCGCATTATCCCAGAGTATCTATTTACCAAGTTTCACCAAAATTTGATTAGTGGTTCTTGAGATAACGGTGGAACAAAAAAAGTGACATACATACATACATACATACATACATACATACATGGTAACTGCAAAGACTCCCTTTTGTGCTTCGCACACGGGAGTCAAAAACTATTACAAACCATGACTATTATTTTGGTAGAAATTTAAGGTGAAAAAAAAACTAGGAAGGCTTTTTTCCAAAAATATAATCAATACAAATCACTGACACAAGAAAATAGTTAACAATGATGACGGCGACAACAACAGTAATGGAAACTTATAATATTTTACAATTCTTACCTCTGTTGCATTTTATTACATGAAAGTTTATGTTGTGACCAATGTGTCCTTTGGCAGTCAACTGAACAATAAGGTCCCATACATCTACTACACCATTGAAGACCTACAAGTAGTAAAGGACATTTTAGTTTTCAATTCAAATTTCAGTTGACTACCATTTAAAGAGTTTAAATCTCTCACCTCGCACAAATCCCCCCCCCCAAGTTGGTATTAACAAAAGAGAAAAATCATGAAAACTGTCATAACAGATTAATAGCATACAACAGCTAGAACACTGTCAAATTAATATAACCCTATCAGAAATTTTCACAAGATTCACAACAAAATTTGAAGTTTTGAATAGCAGTTATTTCAACTTCAGAACTTTTTTTAAGCAACGCTAACCAACACCAATGGTTTATGCTATCCCTATTATCCCACTTATGGAATTCAACCACCACTAGCAGATCGCTCAATATCTACTGTAAAATTCAGCAACCCCCTACAAGACCCAATGGCCTATCCCTGACTATCAGGGTCTCACCCTCTCCCTCTCTCCTCTATGAAATCAGGACACAACCAGCAGAATATCCATTTATTATTGATTTCAATGCAAATTCATCTTACTCAGATAATACTAGCAAATATTACTTACTTGCTTTGCCACATTTCATACATGGTCTTGGGGTTGTTTGTAAACTTGTACTACCATCACTCTTGTTACCCATGGCAACACGAGGAGAAACAATGCCTTCATCTTTTGGTTTGTTTCCACTAGCATTTGAAAACTGATCGGCATGACCAAATGATGCTCTATGAGTACCAGATTCTCTACCATCTGTTCTAGGCAGTCGACTGAAACTTTGTTTATTCAGTTCTACATGGTTTTCAACACGAGTCCCAGTATCTTCTTGTGTGGAAATCAGCTTACCATTGGGAGAACCTTAATTGATAAAGTTGAAGGATCAAACACAATGCAATTACAAGTGTAGTCAGCAAAAATTTATATTATCTAATTTATATGCTGTATTTGATTCATTAGAAATGCATTTACTTACACATGAATCAGCATATATGGTTTATGCATGCTTCGATGGAAGATGTACTTCTAATACGGTAATTCATTTATCCATTCACAAATCAAATTATATATTAGGTGATTTTCCATCTCGCTTATTGTGAGCAAGGGGTGAATAAAATGTCAGCTGCTACAATTTCATTTTGAACTGTAATTTCTTTGTTTATAGCTCAATGTCAGAATGTGATCTTGTATACTGAGTAAAAATATTCTTACTTCATCAAGATTCACCATCACATGTGTATAGCACGTTATTAAGAAATGGAAATTCATCAAATTCCATGCGACATCACTACAGCATTTGTTTGTCTTCTTTTGGCTTTCGATTTCATGCATAATGCAAGATATCACAGTGAACAAAAAATTGTCTATTGTACAGTTTATTTGAACAAGAAATTTCCAAATTATTGTCTTTTATTATAGACAGGTCAAATGAGTCTGAACTACACCCATATAAATTACAGTTAGGGTAAACAGATACAGGAATAAAACAAGTGCATACCAACTGAGTTGTTTAACAGACTTCCACGTCCTGCTGAAGCAAAGGATCTATGCTGCTGGGGGTTCTGAAAATAATCATTATTAAAAACGTCAATTTGCAAGAAAGCAATAAAAAAAAAATCATTTCACTGATCAGCTTTCAAGAATCTGCAGCACTAAAAATTACCAACAACTTCTAATAGAACCAGGTTACCATTCACATTGACTTTTTAGTTGTCAAAATAATTTCATCACAGCTACCTGGGCCAAATGAAAAATATTAACAGGGAAAACGAATAGGTGTACATTATACTAAGTACATCTGGATGCTGGGTAGTGCCAACTAGATCAATGCAATGACAGACATCACTGCAATGGTGGTGATGGCGAACTACAGTACAGTTCTCGCGGAAGCTTTGGCTTTTGTGGCATCATTGTCGCACACGCATGGCTTCATTGTCGCCTCAGCATCGCATCATTGTGGCATCAGCTTTGCGTCATTGAAAATTGAAGCTGTGTTCGCCTCTCTTATTTTGTGGCATCATCGTGGCCTCAGCTTCGCAGTCTCATGGCATCAACATGGCATCAGCTTCAAAGTATTGTGACATGAGTATGACCTCATTATTTTCACATGGAAAGGCAGTAGAGAAAAACACGTGTACAGAAGTTCGATATGTAATCGATTTGAAATTCAAAGCGGTAAGGGGAATAAAATAATATGACCAAGAGCAAAATGACATTTTAAAAAGATATCTTGTTTAATTATTTAATGTTGCGAGTATTGGGTATCAAAAACTTTGTGAAGTACATTGCAATCTGCAAGGTGACGAGTGTCATATTGACTGCAAGGAAAAATGTGATAAATTTAAATCACATGATGTAATCGTCGTTCGGAAACAACACAATTTGCTATACGAAATGAAACTGTCCTTGTTATAAAATTACCTTATTTTCGTTCATTTTATTTGCTGGTAAGAGAAC